AAGTTAGTCCTCTTTCCAAATAAGGAAAGGAATGTGAGCTGGTACTGATAACGATTGGTACTGTGGCATGCCTGTGTACCTAACAAAGGCAAAAAGGAAAAAAGGAGAAAAAAGGAGAAAAAAAAGCAGGGGTGTAACTATGAATTAAAGAATAAAAGATCAATCAGATTATTTGAAGAGAAACCTCATCATATCCCACAGATGGAAAAAAAAAAATTGGACACAATCCTCTCAAACCCTGTCACTGCTTTAGGTTTATGTAATATTCTAAAACCTTTGTGGTCATTTTAACAATGGTCACAGCATCTTCACCAGGAGTGAACTTCATCTAAAAAAACATGAAAAAACACTTTCTTGGCTCACCCATGATAAGCAACTCCTCATCCATTCAAGTTTTATCATAAAATTGCAGCAATTCAAAATGTCAACCTGGAGGAAAAAAATGAGGCAAAATTAGTATAAGTAGAGAGTTTGTTTGGGTCAAGTTTGAGGATTGCAACACAGGAGCATAGAATCAAGTTGCCGTGAACATATGCTCTAATTAGCAGCAGGTATAAGTGGGTTTTTAAAGGAAAAAAGAAGAGCAAGTTCCAAAGGTATTTAACAAGAATTTACATTAAAATAACATAAGCTATTCATTGGCTATACATTGTCCTTTGTATCACAAATTCCAGAAACAAGAAGATCATGGGTGAGGCAGCTGCTCAGAAACAAATGTCTTTCAACAATTACCCCCAGGCATGGGTAGGTATAAGTCTTTCTGGTCTGAGCTGTTTTTCTTTTCTCAAGTTACATCTTCAGGTTCCACTTCTAATTCTAGTTTTCTTGCTGTTTCTACCATATCTGCAATTACTTCTTCCACTGAAGTCTTAAGCTGCTCAATGTCAACCATGAGGGTTGGAATCAACTTCTTCCAAACTCCTGCTAATGTTGATATTTTGACCTCCTCCCATGAATCACAAATGTCCTTAGTGACATCTAGAATGGTGAATCCTTTTCAGAAGATTTTCAATTTTACTTTGCCCAGGTCAATCAGAGGAATCACTATCTGGGGCAGCTATAGCCTTACAAAATGTATTTCTTAAATTACAAGACTTGAAAGTCAAAATTACTCCTTGATCAATGGGCTGCAGAATGGATGTTGTGTTAGCAGACATAAAAACATTAATCTCCTTGTATATCTCTACCAGAGATCTTGAATGTCAAAGTACACTGTCAATTAATGATAATATTTGGAAAGAAATCTTTTTTTCTGAGCAGTAGGTCGCAACAGTGGGCTTAATATACAACTGGCCCTTGAACAACACAGATTTGAACTATGCAGGTTCACTTATCCATGGATTTTTTTCAGTAAAAGTTACACTGAGCGTGCCTGCCTCTTCTGCCTCACTTTCCACCTCTGCCACCTCTTCCACCTTTGCCACCTCTGAGACAGCAAGATCAACCTTTCCTCTTCCTCCTCCTCAGCCTACTTAACATGAAGACAACAAGGATGAAGACCTTTATGATGATCCACTTCCATCTTTATGAATAATAAACACATTTTCTCTTTCTTATTACGTTCTTACTAACATTTTATTTTCTCTAGCTTGCTCTGTTGTAAGAATGCAGTATATAACACATATAACATACAAAATATGTATTATCGACTGTTTACATTATTGGTAAGACTTCTGGTCAACAGTAAACTATTAGTACTTAAGTTTAGGGGAGTCAAAAGTTATCCACAAATTTTGACTGTGGTGGGGGTCAGTGTCCCTAACCTCTGGATTGTTCATGGGTCAACTGTATTCAGTAAACCATGCTATAAATAAATATGCTGTCATCCAGGCTTTGTTGTCCAATTTCTAGAGCATAGGCCAAGTAGAATAGCATAATTCTCAAAGGCCCTAGGACTTCTGGAATGGTAAATAAGCATTGGCTTTAACTTAAAGTCACTAGCTGCTTAGTCATTAAGGGCTTAACAAGAGAATCAGCCTGTCCTTTGAAACTTTGAAGCCAGGCATTGACTTCTCCTTTCCAGCTATGAAAGTTCTAGATGGCGTCTTCTAATACAAGACTGTTTCATCTATATTGAAAATCTGTTGTTTAACACAGGCTCCTTCATCAATAATCTTAGCCAGATCTTCTGGATAAGTTGCTACAACTTCTACATCAGCACTTGCTGCTTCACCTTGAACTTTCATGTTTTAGAGATGGCTTCCTTCCTGAAATCTCATGAAACAACCTCTGCTAGCTTCAGACTTTTCTTCTGCATCTTCCTCAGCTCTCTTAGCCTTCACAGAATGGAAGAGAGTTAGGACCTTGCTGTACATTAGGCTTTGGCTTAAGGGAATGTTGTAGCTGGTTTGATCCTCTATGCAGGCCCCTCAAACTTTCTCCATATCAGCAATAAGGCTGTTTGGCTTTTTTTTTTTTTTTTGAGATGGAGTCTCACTCTGTTGCCCAGGGTGGAGTGCAGTGGTGTGATCTTGACTCACTGCAACCTCCTCTACCCGGGTTCAAGTGATTCTCCTGCCTCAGCCTCCCAAGTAGCTGGGATTACAGGCTGGAGTGCAATGGCGCGATCTTGGCTCACTGCAACCGCCTCTACCCGGGTTCAAGTGATTCTCCTGCCTCAGACTCCTAAGTAGCTGGAATTACAGGCATGTGCCACCACGCTCAGCTAATTTCGTATTTTTAGTAGAGATGGAGTTTCTCCATGTTGGTCAGGCTGGTCCCGAACTCCTGACCTGCCATTGTGCCCAGCTAATTTTTTTTGTATTTTTAGTAGAGACGTAGTTTCACCATGTTGGCCAGGCTGGTCTTGAAGTCCTAACCTTGTGATCCACCCACCTCAGCCTCCCAAAATGCTGGGATTACAGGTGTGAGCCACCACACCCGGCGGCTGTTTTGCTTTCTTATAATTTGTGTGCTCACTGGAGTAGCACTTTTAATTTCCTTGAAGAACTTTTCCTTTGCACTCACAACTTGGTTAACTGTTTGGCACAAGAGGCCTAGCTTTTGGCCTATCTCAGCTTTTGACATGCCTTCCTCAGTAAGCTTAATCATTTCTAGCTTTTGGTGGAAAGAGACATGCAACTCTTCCTTTCACTTGAACACTTAAAGGTCATATTAGGATTACTAACTGGCCTAGTTTCAATAATATTGTGTCTCAGGGAACAGGGAGGCCCAAGGAGAGGGAGAGACTGGGGAATAGCCAATCAGTGGAGCAATCAGAACACACAAATTCATCAATTAATTTTGCCATTTTATATTAGGTACAGTCCATGGCACCCCAAAACAATTATAATAGTAACATCAAGTATCACTTATCACAGATTATAACAGAAATAATAATGAACAAGTCTGAAATATTATGAGAATTACCAAAATGTGACACAAAGCCATGAAGTGAGCACATGTATTTGGAAAAATGATGCCAATAGACTTGCTCAATGCTGGTTGCCACAAACCCTCAATTTGTGAAAAAAGCAGTTTCTGTGAAGCATAATAAAGCCAAGTAAAATAATACAAACAAAATATGTCTGTATTTGGAGATAGGGTCTTCTAAGAGGTAATGAAGTTAAAATGAGGTCATTTGGGTGGAACCTAATTCCATATGACTGGTGTCCTTACAGGAAGAGGAGACTAGGACACGGACACACATCAAGAAAGATCATGGGAAGACACAGAGAGAAGGCGGCTGTCTGTAAGCCAAAGAGAGAGGCCTCACAAGAAACCAACCCTGCTGACACCGTCATCTCAGGCTTCTGGCCTCATGAATTGTGAAAAAAAAAAATTAATTTCTGTTGTTTAAACCACACAGTCTGTGGAATTTTATTATGGCAATCCTAAAAACTAATACATGTGCTTTACAATTTACAAAACTTTTTCTCATAAACTCACTTAAATGTCAAAACAATCCAGTTGCATAGAGTATTATCCCCATTTTACTGAGGAAACAGACTCAGAAACTAATAGCCTGACATCCCAGTGTTCATGCGTGGCAGATCTTGGCTTGGCTTGGAGACTTTCTGACTCCAGATCCCAGGTTCTTTCAAATGGACTCTGTTTCCTATTTGCAAAGTGCTTAGCACCATCATTTTCATGTTTTTCTGTCCATCAGCCATTTACAGGCAGGCTACAATCTGTTCCCTTAGTCTGGAGAGTGGCTGAGTGATGTGCTTAGGCTTACACAATGAGTTGGTGGCAGGAATGGCATTAAAGTGGCTCCTGAAATTCTGGGTCATTTTAAAGTGATGATTTCTTATTTTTCCTGTTCACTCAGCCAAATTCAAAGAGCCAAGAATTTTTGAGTAGCTTTGTTCCTGGTGCAGAACAGCCCCACCTCTAATGTCTACTTCAGGTGAGCCTGCCGCAGGTGATCCAGGAATTCAAACGCTGAGAGCACCTGAAGAATCTAAGTTGTTTACAGGCCTCACTGCAGGGTTTGGCTCTTAAGGAGCTGTTTTTGACCCTTAAGGAGCTGCTTTTAACTGTCACCACCTACTGGGAGGAGAATTGACCAGGGAACTGAGTTCATCTGTGGTTTGCTTTCAACTTAAAATAGTCATATCTTTTCCTGAGAATATTGATTGAAAAGTTGATATCAAAATAAGCAAAGGAGCTACAAGAGCAAATTTCAGTGAATGAGGCTTTTTCCTCTTTGGGGGAAGGTGAAGTGCATTGATAGGTTAGTGAGCAAGATTTTAAAATGATTTTCTTACTTAGTGCACAAACAGCAGGAATAGATACCAGAATACATGAGAGAGGAAATTGTACCCACCATCCTCCCAGCCCATTTTTTCCCTTTTTCGGTGTGTTTTTCTTTATCCAGATGTACATATAGTTTTTACCACTGCACTCATGGCAGAGATAAGATTTTGTATTTTCACTGAACATCATAATATAAACATATTTCCAAGTCACCACATAATCCTCACGAATTTATATATGTATATATCTCCTCATGATTATATATATATCCTCATGATTATATATATTATTTATTTATTTATTTTATTTATTTTTGAGACGTGTGCGTTTATTAGCTGAGCCACTACTTGAGGGGGTGAAGCAGGAGGAGTGGGTGGCCCTGAAGCCGGGCCGGCTGTGCTTCACGGGCTTGTAGGTGATGGAGAACTCGCCCCCAGGTAGTGGCTGATCATCTCCGGCTTCATCTCCACCTGGTTGAAGGTCCGTTGTAGACGCCCACCATGCTGCCCACCATCTCGGGCAGGATGATCATGACCCGCAGGTGAGTCTTCACCACTTCCGGCTTTTCCATGGGCGGTCCCTCCTTCTTGGCCTTGCGCAGGCGTTTTAGCAGCGAATGGTGCTTCCGCCGCAGTCCTGGTTTCAGCCGCAGTCGCTGGCGCGCACTGTTCAGCTGTGTTAGCTGCTCGTAGGACGTGTCCAGCAGCTGCTCGAGGTCCACGCCGCGGTAGGTGAACTTGCGGAAGGTCCGCTGCTTCTTCTGCTCTTCCTCTGCCATCTAGCCGGATCCTCAGAAAAATGATTTATATTTTTTAGTGGCCACCTAATATTACTTGAAATGATGGAATCATCGTTTGTGCAACCAATCCCTTTCCCTTAGTCATTTAGGTTGTTTACAATTTTTCGCTTCAGGTGATACATCCTCTTCGCAGACTGCAGAAAAACAGCAGATTTGTGATTTAACTGGGAGTTTTCTGGGATCAAACAGTGGCTTCGTTTACAGGTAGGTTGCCGAGCGGCCATGGTAACTGATGGAGCAGTCACTATGGTGGTCAGTAGGACTGAGTGGGAAGGGTGCCCTGGAAGCCTGGAAGCCTGGGAGCTAGCAGGGCCGCAGTCGTCCATTTCCCACCCAGTCTTTCCTGTCTCTCAGGGACCCCTGGCAGTTGCTCAGCTGGTGCTGAATTGAGAAGCAACGTGTGAACATGAAGGGTATATGGCAGATGATCCCAATTTGGCTTCTGCAAGAAGTAGAACAGTGAGCTACCTGGGGAGGCCCTGTGCCTCCGACTCTTGCTACTCCTTGGAGCTTCGTGTCTCCGAGAATAAACACCCAGTATACTCTGGGGACCTAACCGCTAATCCCAGGAGCCGAGCTAAAGAGAAATAGTGTGTTTTGCTTGTTTCATCACGCTGAAGTCTGGGTCACCTGATCCAGGCTTATTTTCTGCTCCTCTGCAACTTCTGCCTGAGGGGCCAGGCAGTCCCAGCCTATACACAGCCTGGGCACAGCCCTCCAGGTCCTACTGGGACCAGAAATTCCTTCTGGCTTTAGGACTCCTCATCCTGGTGCTTCTTGCCTGAGCCCTTTGGGAAAGGCACCCTGTAGATGAGAATTGCTGACAGTTTGAGGGAGTGAAAACATGCAGGAAGGCAGAGGATGTTCCCGTTGCGTTTAAGGTCAGCTGTGTTTGGAGAGAATTCAAAATGCAAGCGTCCTAATACAGTCACTGGAGGCCAAGTTAATTTATTGCCTCCTGGTTACAGCCTCAGTCCCACCCCTTAGACTGAGTTGAATTTTGGAGTCTGGTGGCCAGGCAGAATCCTATGGAACCTTCTCCAGCATCCTCTTCATGGTCAATCTCAAGGTCACTCAGGGCTTGTCTTGACTAGTAATAATAAAAGAAGCCAGCACTTATAGAGTCTTTCTTGCTTAGTACTCTACGAAATGCTTTACATATGATATCTCAAATAATCCTCACAAGAACCCTATAAAGAAAGGATTATTGCTGCCTCCATTCTATAAATGAGAAAACTAAGGTTCAGAAAGGTCAAGTAACCCCAAGTCACAGAGCTGGTAAGTGGCACGAATAAAAACTCAGATTTGGGCAGGCTTACGTGTACACACTCCCTGTGAGGGATCCTGCCACCTGCCAGCCTAGCCACAACCAAAGGAAAATAATAGCTCAACCCTTCATCAATGCAAGGCACTTTGCTAAGGTGTTTGCTTGCATTATTCTGACTCTTGAATGAGGAAACTGAATCAGAGAGATTCATTCATTTCCCCAAAGTCACACAGCTAGTATGACAGAGACTATTTTCCTCTAAAATCTAATTTCTCCTTCTTGTACAGTAATAGACCCTCATTTTTAGCTGAGCATGTGGCCTTCTGGAGTTATGACTACATTCTCCAGACTGTTGAAGCTAGGTGTCCTTGTGACTAAATCGTGGGCAATAGGATATAAGCAAAAGCGGAATGTGCGGCTTCCTGGAACTCTCAGCCTTCTCTCCACTGCTGAAATGCAGACATGACAGCTTGAGCCAGAGGGTGCCAGCTAGTGCCATGATGTGATCAAGGCCATCAACAGCAGAGCCGCAGGGGAGTAGGAGCCTTGGTCCCTGAGGACACACTGGAGCTAACTTGGGAATCTTGAGTTGGCCACCTCCAAAATTTTACATGAAAGAGAAAAGTAAACATCTAACTTGCTTAAGCTGCTATTGTTTTGGGGTTTGTCATTTATAGCCAAATCTAATCCTCATTAAAATAGTGGTGGAACTGGAATTTGAACCAGTTTACTCCCAAGACCAAACTTTACCTCTTTGACCTGCTATTTCTACTGTAAAACTCTATGCCCACACCAGTTCGTCTTTAAAAAAAAAAAAAAAAAAATTCTTTTCTCACACTTCTGGAGGCTATATCCAATATCAATACGCCACCAGGGTTGGTTTCTGATGAGGGCTGTCTTCCCTCATGGTGGTTGGCTGCCTTCTGGCTGCGTCTTCATATGGCCTCTTGGCTATGCTTGTGTGGAGAGAACGTTCCCTGGTGTCTTGTCCTCTTCTCATGAGGACAATGGTCCTTTGGGATAAGGCCTTGCCCTTATGACATCACTTAACCCTATTACTTTCTTATAGACCTTAAGTTTACTGGTTTATTATAAAGGATACAGATGAAGAGACACAGAGCGTGATTTGGGGGTAGGAGCATGGAGCTTCTGTGTCCTTTCCGGGTGCACCACCCTCCATGTGTTCAGCTGTCTGGAAGCTCCTGGTTCATCTTACTACCAGTGTCTTCCATTCCCTTCCTTTGAGGAGTCAGTCAATATGTCCCAAGTGCTAGGCTCTGTGCGAGGGAATAAACCAAAAATATAAATACGAGGGAATAAACCAAAAATATAAATATGAATGAGGCTTGGTTAGTGCCCTTGAGGAGCTGGCAGTCCATCTTGGAAGACAGATGGCTAAGCTAGTAAATGAAAGACAGTGCAGTGAATCGTGTAATAGAGACATGGGCCCAATGTTGTGGGAGCCCAGAGGAGTGGCTCACCGCCCGGGGGTCCGGGAAGGTTTTGCTGAGAGTGCAGCATACAATGTGGACATGCCAAGTGGCTGCTGGAGTAGGAAGTGTATTTGCTTCTCAGTCACCAGCACATTTAAACCACGGTCCTCCGAAGAGTCTCGCCTGTCTAGAACATAGCCTACTCTCCTTACCCTAGAATTTTATAGACTCTTAATTCTTCAGCACCGGAGACCCCTAGAGTCAGCCCCTTAGGAATCCAGATTTCTTCTTGCTGGACCCAAGGCCATGAAGAAAAAAGTGTGTGGGATCCCTTGTTGCCTCACAACAAGGAAGAAAATGGAAGCAGGAAGCGGGAAGACCACTATCAGCAGGGCTAGACAAAGATTCCTCAGCATAGCTGCGAAAGCCAGAATGAGTTGTAATTACTCTGTGCTTGGAAATGGTGTTTCTGGTGTGACTTTTCTACCTGCTCTTCTAACAGTAGAGCTGCTGTCACTTTATAAAGCCCAGACCTGGCTTTCCCTGATTAGAGCCAATTAGAATGACCCCAGGAGGGCAGCCAGGGCCGCTTCGCTGCTAATGAGGGCGGCTGATGTGTTGGCGTCAGTTTATTTGCCCAGTGATGGGGAGATGGGAAAGCCTATCCCACCAAGCGGTCCCTTTCTTTCTCCTCCCAGTGCCTCCAATAAGTCTATCAACTATTCTGAGCACCAGCTTTCAATAAAGGGATGAGATCTACTGGGGGAAAAGACTATCTCCTGGGTAATGAGGCCAAGCAACACTTTTCCTTACTCAGCATGTATTTATTAAGCAACTACTATGTGCCAGATGTGGTGCCAGGGGTCACACATAATAATACGATACAGGCAGCGGCAACTTTACCATGAAGTTAATAAAACTTAAGCTTTAGGGCCGCCCATTAGGACAAGTTCCGAAGGGGACCCTAGTAATGTGTTTGTGGTGATCACATGTTTTGTGAAACTTGCCGAAGTCAGCTATTTGAACCACACTCAGTTAAGACTGCTATCCCTTTCCACTCAGACTTCCCCTCTGTCACACTCCCCCTCATGTTGCCCAGAACTGAAGTGGCCATGGACATTTTTGCGATCTGGCTGGGGGAAGTTAAGTTGGGGATACAGTTGTTTTATGGGACATATCTAGGTGGTTTGCAGTCACTTTTGTGTAGAGTTGGCTTTTGCTAGCCATCTCAGTGCAGAAATGGTTCCCAGAAACACACTTACTGCCCATGGTGCCGACTTACCTGGCATTATGACACTCAAATGCAGGGCCAAAGACCATATGGGATTTGCGAGTGTCCTATGCAGCCTGGCCCTGGAAGCATGTGGGTAATAGAGGAGAAACAGGATTTGAACTGTATAGAGCCAAAAGCTAGTCTGTAGGAAATTCTTCCAAACATCAGATGTGTAAGATTGTAAGTGCAGAATCCGGTTCTCACTGATACATAGTCATATACCTTAGGCATATATATATTGAGTACTGCGGCGATACAATTACATACTTTCCTTTTTTCCCCCTTTTTAAAATGCCGAATATAATTTATCAGAATTTCTGTGTTTGTAGGATACAAACTGTAGCGGTCCTGCAAACAACAAATATATCTGGCTGTGGTCACATGTGTTTATGCATTGCGTCAATCATAAATATAATTATTATTATGCCAGAGGACTTAATTCTCATTCCATTCTCTATATAGAAAATATTACAGAATCGTTACATATGAAGAGGCAATAAAAGAGTATTATTCAGCCAAAAAATGTGGAGAAAGACTTATTGCAGTGTGCTAGGCAGTTAACAAAAACATTTTTCTGTATTTTGTGATATTTGAAGTATTTTTCCACTTTAAAGGCTTTACAATTTATTATTTCTTTCCCCAATCTACATAAAGGTCCACTTTTCTGCCTAATTTTGTTTTTGTAATTTTGTATTTTTCTTAAAAGAGAACCCTCAAATTGTCTAAGCTTCAGGCTCTGCAAAACCTGAGTTCACCCCTGGAACATACAATTCTTTATTCCTTGTCATGGTCTATGGGCGAACCCTGTTGCCTCCCTCCTTTACCACGTATGTAACCAGTGCCTGCTGCATGCCAGGTTCTGAGCTAGGGATGGGAACACAATCATGGATGAAACAGACCTGGCCCCTTCCCACGTGGAGAGAAAGAGACAGACATCAAATAAACGAAGTCATACAGGATGCTGTGGGAGAGAAAAGGGGTGGGGACCTCTTGCAGGAAATAACGTTTCAGCAGAGACTGAAAGAATATGTAAGAGTTACCTAGATGAAGAGTAAAAGGATAAATGTGCAAGCGGAAAAACAGCATGGGAGAAGGCCCTGAGGTGGGAAGGGCTTGGTGCATTACAGGTACTCAGTAAATATCTATTGAATTAATTTTTAAAAAGTATTATTTGAGCAGGGCCAGGGTGCTATGGGAGCATATAAGAACAGCATAGAACTCTTGTCTAGCCCAACCAGCAACAGAGGAATGAGGAATGAGAAAGAGTTAGATTAGAATCGACTTCCTGACTTCCAGGAGGAGAAATACCATGTGCAAAGGCCCTGGAGTCAAAGAGGGATCAGCGAGCAGTTCTGTATGGCTGGACCACAGTGGGATGGATTTGAGGAGGGGCATTTGTTGAGGGGAGATTGAGAATTGGCAAGAAATGAGGCTGGAAATGTAAACCACAGCGAGACCATGAAGGACCTCATAAGCCATGGTAAGCTGTGTGGATTTCATTTGGATGCTGTGGTGAGGTGGTGTTAGGGAAGGAAGTGATAGGCCCAGGCCAGCACGTTGGAAAGAGATGGTTGCATGGTCAAGAGAGGACTGGATGAGATGGCAAAGCTGTTAGAGAAGGTGGTGGCCACAGGTAGTGTGGCATGGGGAGAAAGAAGTAGACAGCTCCAAAGGGGAACATTGTGTACCTAATGGATTTAGGTAGGCAAGATAGAGTCACATCAGGGCAGGTGCCAGGCTGGTGCATAGTTTCTCTTTCTTCCTAAAGCTAGCTAACCTCTTGGGAGACTGGGTTCCTGGTTTACAATGGATGGTGTTACCGGACTGTCTGCACCCTTGGCTACTGGTCACCATGCGCTGCTTATTTTCTGCTCACTCTGTCCTCTGACTTCTCACTGGGTTTGGCCAATGGGAAGCCCACGAATACTGCGGAGCAGAGGAACAAGGTCCCCCATGAGGACCTTGCCTCCCCATGAGAAGGCCCAAGGCTAGCTTTGCCCCTCAGTCTCTCTCAAGGTAACCCTGTTATATCTACCTTCCTCTACATGACTTTTTTACTTCCTCCTTTCAATGTCCACTCCCTCCCCTTTCACTTGGGCCTGGAGTGGTTACAGCTCAGCTTACGGGCTGCAGAAACACCCCAACACCCCTTCTGGTTCCCACCACTTCACCCACACCTTTGTTCAGCTCACCTTCCTTGAGTTACTCTAATGAGTATGACATCTGTTTCCTGTTGGGACTCTGAGTCACACACCTGACACCAGGCTGAATTGTACATAAAATAGTTCCTAGTTCCTTTAAATCAGACCACACCCCTGCAAGCCCAACAGCTAATAAGGCAAGAACACATGCTCCAGCCATTTACCTGGTGAGCAATCAGGATCTTCCTAGGCCTCGTCTCCCTGGTCAAGTTCTGCTCCTAGCCACCCAGACTTGAGTAGGGCTCAGATTTCCCAGCTCTGACCCTGGGGATTTTCCTAGTGCTGGATGCCCCCCACCATGCTGTCCCACACAGGATGACGCTGCCAAGTTCAGCATCTTGGGCTAGGACAGGGTGTGTGGGGACAAGGGAAGGTAGGTAGCCTCAAGGTTCCTTTCCACCAACCCTGCTGAGACCTAGGGATCCCATCATCAAGTGGCCACTGACCTCCCCTGAGAGGGCTGGAAAAACCTGCAAAATGGTTCTGACTCACTGTTCTCTAGGCTTTCTGCTGACCTGTGATCATCTGCATGTCTGTCTGGGTGTGTATGAATGGGTCTGTGTCTGTGGTATTTTTGTCTGTTTCCCCTCCCCCACCCCAGAATGTAAACACACTGAAGGGAGGGACTTGTCTTGTTCTCCACTGTATCCCCGTGCCCAGCCCAGTGCCTGGGACACAGTAGTTAGTGGATAGTTATTTGTTGACCAACAGACCAGTGACTGGTCTCTCATCATCTGTTTACTGTCTTCCCCCAGACAACACAGAGCTTCACTGGTTAGATTTCCTAATTACGCTCCTTTTCAGTCTTGCCTTCCTGAGATGAGCCTCGTCAGCATCGTGAATATTTCCAGCAACTCCTCAATCACACATTTATAGCTTTTTTATGGGATACTCCTACAACCTGATTAATGTCTTTATTGCCCTAAGCACTGACAAGTTTACAGGGACTCGCACATGAAATTCAAAATACAATTTTACAGCACATGAAATTCAAAATAAAATTTTAGTTTTTGGTTTAACATTAAAGTTTATGCTAAAATTTTAAAAAGCGACTTTCTAGATTTTCTGCCTGCAAAATTGTGAATAAGCTCATTACAGCTGAACTTACCCTTCTTTCTGTCTCTCAGTTTGCTAGTGCCCTAGGCAACTGTTTGGTTTGTCTGTTGGGCATTAGTTACTTTCATATATGGGTAATTCCATGACTGGTTTTTCACAAGCCAGAATGGAGTTCTTGCGAGCATGGAGAGGACAGGGAAGAGTCAATTTCCCATTACCCCACATGTGTTGTTTTTCAACCTAGGCACTACTGGCTGGACATGGGACTAACCCGCTCATTGCAGGACATTTATCATTTCTGAGTTCCAGGCGCTAAATGCTGTTAGCATCCCCCAGTCATTGTAACAATTAACAACAAAAGGGCCTCCAAAATCTCCCTAAGGGAGCAGTTCTACCTCAGGTCAAGAAGCATCATGCCCAGTGTGGCTGAATATAGGTTAAAAGAACGTTCTTTGAAAGGTCCTTCCTTCCCTTGCATGTCTGGAATGAACACCCCTTTCTGTTCCTCCTCACTGATGGGACCCAGATTCTATATGACCATTCCTGGGCAATGGAGCCCACAACTTCTCTCTACTGTGAGTAAGAACAGGGTGATAGTACCACTCCTTAACATTTTGTCATGTGGGATGACTCTCATTATAACATCACCTTTCATGTTAATTAGCTCTCAGGGTTTGTTACAGAACATTTCAAAATCTGCATGTGTGTCTCTCTGACTAAATTATGAGCTCCTGGGGGCAGAAGCCATGTTTTATACCTCTTAGGAGAGAAGGTTGGTTTTAGGGGTAAAGTGACTCAGGAAGAGTTGTCTAGAAAGCAACTTGGAATTAGGGTCTGAAATCCAAGGGGAGGTTAGAGCTAGACACAGACTCAGGATGCGCCGCCCACAGGGAGAGCTGAAATTGTGGTTGGAGAAGGGATGACATCGGTTCAAGGGCATCACTTTGAGAAATGACCACCTTTAGGATGTGGGAGGAAAAATAAAATCCAATAAGGAAAAGGCAGAATGGTAGGGTTGTGGGAAGTGATGGGATGTTGCTGCATCTCAGAAGGTGACAGGGTTATCGGGACCAGAAGGAGGCAAGACCGAGGACAGCCTGCCCTGTCTGCCAGCTGAGAAGCCGATGGCAGCCTTTGGGACTCTGTCTGTAGAGTGGTAAGAATGGACAAGGCTGCGAAGGACTAAGGAGTGGGGAAACTACGGCAGAGAGTGCAGGTTTCAAGACTTCCAGAAGCGAAGAGAAGAGGGCAGTCATGTGAAAGGGCGACTTGGCACATAGGAGGCATTCCTAAATAGATCTGTTTGGATACATGAGTTCCTGATACAAATGTTTATTTTTATAA